GCGTTGGGTTTGTACTCGACCGGACGCTGGCGCTGGTGGGTGGCAGCTCGCTGTACGTGCGGTACTGCAGCTTTGAGGGATACAAATACCTGTTCTACGTGTACAGGCTCAGTGTGAGTGGCCACTCCGTTTTTGCGCTGCTCAACAATACGATGTTCTCCGGGGTAAGCCTGCTGTATCAACACCACGGATTCAGCGTGTCGGATCACAGCGTGTTGCGCGTGGCGGGGAACAGCGGCTCAGCTCGTTACGCCATCTATAACGATGACTTGTGGACTGTTCAGCGGTCAAGCTGGTTGGATTGGCGCGACAACGACGTGGAAATGGGTGCGATGTTCTACGACAGTGGATCCGCTTTTGTGACCATTGACAGCAGCAGTGTTGTGACGCTGACGGGCTGCAGGATGGGCTCGACGGGGTTGTCTGTTCCTTTGCTATCGCGGGCTGACGCCGGCTACCGGTTTGTTGCTGGGTGTCTGACGGTCGCGGGACGGGTGGTGACGACGGCGGCTGAACTGGATCTGAACGGCATCACCAACGTGACGGCTGTTGCAGTGTGCGGGGAGTGCACGAAGGACGGCGACTGCTTTGCCCCGCTGACGACGGCGGTCATTGACTGCAAGTGCCAGTGCGCTGCTGGAGGGCACGGCGATGTGTGCGTCCCGGCGCCTGTGCCTGCTGGCCCGCCACCGTTACCGCCGTCATCTCCCCCGCCACTGCCATCGCCGCCAGCACCACCACCACCGCCGGTTGGTGAGTGCATCAGCGACATGGCGTACCCCGAGGTGGCGCAGGCAGTGGGCAGCGGGCTGTCGTGGCTGTGCTACCGCAACGTGACGTTCAGCGGGGGCGGCATGAGCCTGACGGTGCTGATTGGGGGGATGAAGGGCGACGTGGCGAACGTCACGTTTGATGGATGCACGTGGAGGGACGGCGCCCTGCTGTTGCTGTTGGGCAACGCGAACGCCGCTGTGGGGTCGCTGAACATTGTTGTCACCGGCAACACTTTCCGTGACGCGCTTCTCAGCCCGAAGGGTGGATTTCCACCGCACACGAACATCACGATCAGCGGGAACCGCTTTACGGTCACGAGACTGATCCCTCGGTCGGGTTTGGGCCTTGGGAGGCCGTCGTGCGTTGTGATGAATGGGCTGGCGATCAGCAACGGCTCCGCGGCGGTGTTCAGTGGCAATGTATTTCAGAGCGTGACGGCATCGTCAAGCGCCATTTACGTTATCAGATCTGCGCTGAGTGTGTTGTGGCACTCCGTGTTTGCGGTGGTGGGCAACACGTTTCATATGGCTGGCGGTGACAGTACGCTGATATATCTTGAAGGGTCTAGCCAATCATTTTCACTAAGTGTAATGAACAACTCTGCCGTGGTGATCCGAGGCAACGCTGTGACGAGACCGGTGAAGTACTTCATTTTATTTCTTTGGACATCACGTGTGGAGTCTCGGTCAGCGGTTGTGTTTCATGGCAACGACATGCAGGGAAACTTGGCTGTGTTTTATTCAACTTTTGCCGCCAACATCTACTACAACTCCTGGCTGCAGTTGAACGGCAACCTTTGCCGCGTGTCTCCACGGGATGCGTTTGCTGTGCTGAGCCCCACGGTGAATCTCCGCGATTCCACGATGTCTGTGTCTGGCAACCGATTCATGTCCAACACCGTCTCGCCAACAATGCTGCTGATACCTCAAAGTTCCCGCGATCTCACAAACGGAGCGATTGTGGCTGCGTGCAACACTGTGAGCGGCGAGGAAGGAGTGGAATACAGTGTTCCGTCCGTGTACAATGTCACCATCTTAAACTGCAGTGATCCATGCACCCTCGCAGCGTCGTGCTTCCCCGCGTACACGACGACGGCGTCGAGTGATGGCTGCGCCTGCACGTGTGCTGAGGGCGGCTACGGCGATGCGTGCCTGCCCGTTGCTGCTCCCGAGCCGCCGAGCACCGACGGAGCCGACTTGTGCGTGCGTGACGTGCGTGTGGATGAGGAGGTGAACGCCGGTCTCGGGACGTCGGTGTTGTGCTACGTTGATGTGACCTTTGCGGCGGACGTCGTGGTGGACGTGGCGTCGATGTCGGGGAGCGTGCGCAACGTGACGCTGGCGGACTGCACGTTTGTGGGCGGAGCGAGCCTGTACGTTGTTGGGTGGCGGTCCGACCCGCCTGCTGGCGAGCGCGCCGATGTGTTGATCAGCGGGCTTGAGTCGCGCTCCGGCGGCGTGGTGGTGGCGAACCGATTTCCGTCGGGCTCGCGCGTCACTGTGGTGGACTCGGTGCTGATCGCAGAGAAGCGTGTTGCGTACCGCGGCGCCTACGGCCTTGGCGACGCCTCCGCGTGCCTCGTGCTGCACAGCGTGAATCTGACTGGGAGCGTGCTGACCATCGCGCGCACGCATGTGGCGGCTGTGTTCCGCGACGCTGTTGGCGTGTTGGTGGTTGGCGGCGTGGCGCTGTCGTCGCGCGGTGCGCTGTACGTGGACAGAGTGTTGGTGCAGACGGCGCTGGGGCTTTGCGTGTCGGTGGAGGGCGGCGTTGCGGCCATTGGCGGCTCCGTGGTGGCGTTTGTTGACAGCGACTTCCTGCTGTGCAAGCACGCGGTGTCTGTGCGTGGGGCTGTGAGCGTGTCGGGCTCCGCCGTGGCGCTTGTGCGGAGCGAATTTTTGTCGACGGAGGACTACGCGGTGGCGTTTTATTCGACGGTGAGTCTGGTCGGCGGGTCGATGCTGCTGGCGAAGGGCAACGTGCACGACGGCGTCTCGAGGGAGATGCTCTACGCCGCTGGCGCTGTGACCGCTGCTGGGAGCACGCTGAGCTTTGTGCGCAACCGAGCGCTGCTGCCACGAATGCTGTCGGTGAGCCTGTCGCTTGCGTCTGGGGCGCATTTGAGGGTGGCGTGCAACGACGCTGGTGGCCGTGTCCTGTCGACGGCGGAGGAGTACGCAGCGGCAGGTTTTGACGACGCTGGGAGCATCGACATTGTTGGGTGCGACGCCTGCGACAGGGACACGCACTGCTACGC